TAACATAACATAACATAACATCACGCCTTTTATCCCCGAAGGGGTAGGCAGAGGTGCACATTATGCCACTGTACAATGTAACACCCACTTTTCACTATTTATGTTATGAGTCCCATGTAATAGGGGGTGAGCCTATTGCCATATACCGGGCACAATTCCAGACTCCGTGCTACTACTGAGAATTTTTAAAAACCCAATATTACTTTGCCCGACCTGGGAATCGAACCCGAGACCCCTTGCCCGAGACTCATTTTTATATATACAGATAAGCTTGTTACTATATTGACTCACCTTGACCGTAGAGTTCCCAGTAGCTTCTATAACCTTAGACAAAGCATTTGGTGATGATAGAATCCATATTCCAAGAGCTGCGAAGAGTATGCAGATCACCTGAAACAAAAAAGTATAAATAACTAGCTTTTGTTAGCTGACTACCTCGACTCGACTCTTGACTGCCTCGTGGCCGAGTGGTCGCAAGTGCGACTGCCGGGCAAGGGGTCTCGGGTTCAATTCCCGGGTCGGGCAAAGTATTACTGGGTTTTCAAAAAATTCTCAGTAGTAACACGGAGTCTGGAATTGTGCCCGGTATATGGCAATAGGCTCACCCCCTATTACATGGGACTTATAACATAAATTAGTGACAAGTGGGTGTTACATTGTACAGTGGCATAATGTGCACCTCTGCCTACCCCTTCGGGATAAAAGGCGTGATGTTATCTTTATGCTTTTGTTAGCAGGTTCGCCCGCGTTCCCCGGCATTAAAGTAGCCTATATATGTTACTACAGACCATAATCTTTTTCTGTTCGAAATTTCACAGCCTCTTCTCACACGGAGAAGGTTTGAGCATTAACCACCACGCTTGCTCAATGCGGGTTGGCGATTACAAACTTATAATAAGAAATTATAAGCCCAGGTTTCCTCACGATGTTTTCCTTCACCGTTTGTAAGTGGTGTCTAAATAATCTTAGAAAGTACAAATAACTCGGAAAAAGTGACATTGGTATACACGGCCACACATCAATCTATACAAAACCAGTTTATCCTGGTGTCGCGTCGCATCATCTTTCCGCACATTTAACGTTCAGTTTATACTGGTTATGTAAAGCTCGATGTGTAGCCGTGTACTTGCCGTTGGTAGGTTTCGAACCACAATCATGCATGAGAAGCAGGCGTCTTAAACCTCCGAGCTACCACGACATTTATATATACGTAATTACATACAAGTTTTTTGTTATGGCATAAGCCGGTAAACGAGCTGACGGATCACCTGATGGTAAGCAATCGGCGTCGCCCATGGACACCTGGAACACCAGAGGCGTTACAAGTGCGTTACCGGCCTTTTCAGGATTAGGAGTTTGAAGATCGTTGGGGATTCAGGAATTGGGGAGATTGGGGAAGGGGAGGGTACCTAATTGGGCCTAAGTTAAATAAAAAAAGTTAAATAAAAGCTTTTTGGTATATAGTGTGTGTGTATTCTTATTTAAATTCACTTGACTTCAGAATAGTTCGTGTGTTCAATAAAAGTCCAAAATGAAATAGGTGGTAAAACTCTCTGTTTATATTGTTCTAAGAAATACACAATTCACAACTAATTTAAAAAGGGAAATTTATTACTGCACCTCTATTTAAAAATTTAAGCATACCAAATTTCTCCACTAATAACCACTAATAGCATATCAAAAAAATGACTGTACTACAAATTACTCACCTTAAAACAAAAATACTGATTTGCACACAACTTGTTCAATATTACAACGGAATTTCCAAAATAGGTTAGATTAGGAATTATTAGATTTACTTTTAGTTAAAAGATAGTCATTCAGTAAAACAGTTAGCTTTAAAGATCTAACAGTATAGTATAATTAATTTATTTGATGAGCAAATTTAGTCTGCAATTCAGTATTTTTGGTGGTAATTTCGAATATTTTTATTGAAAAAAGGGAATTTACAGTCAAAGTATTAAATACCAGCCTTTTTCAAAATATTATCTACTGGTTAACACCAAAGCTGGGAGACGACAGTGGTGTGTGAATAGAAAACAAAATAAGATGACCTTCTTGAAGCCATGAAAAACATAACTCCTTACTCAGACCTTGAACTGCCACTCAATCTCTAATCTCAAACAGTAAAATTATATGATTTCTTAATGTTATATATTCATGTAATCATTTCTTTAGACCGTGAACTCCAATAGTTGCTTGGCCTTGATTCGTACCTTGGACCTAACGATGTCTAACGACTAATCTTGACCTTCATTCCAAGTGGGGCGAAGGAAGTCGTCCTTCAATTGTTTCAGTGTTTGAATTTGTCTGTCTATCTATCATAAATATAGATATTTTTTTTAAGGAGGGGAATTTATCGAATGACTTCTCCCGCCTGGGTGAGGCGGGAGGGAGTGTCAGACTCTTACTGACTAAAAACCACCCCGTTCCTACTCCTGCACGTCGAGCCGGAGCCCCGGTAACCCGTTAGGTTCTCCGCGACGCATAAATGTATATTAAGGGCCGATTTTTCAATCGTCAGTCGCAAGTGCAACTGCCGGGTTCGATATCCGGGTGGGGCAAAGTATTACTGGGTTTTAATAAAAATCTCAGTAGTAGCACGGAGTATGGAATTGTGTCCGGTATATGGCAATAAGCTCACCCCCTATTACATGGGACTCATAACATAAATAGTGAAAAGTGGGTGTTACATTGTACAGTGGAAAAAGGTATTTTTTTATTTTATAAAAAAATTTAATTAGTATAATGCGTCAAGCGTGTCTTTGCATTGTTCTCACATATACGTACAGTATTGGACTATGTATCAGAGACATTGTAGAACATACTTTTTTAAAAAGAGTAATGAATGGAGTTTCTTGCTCGTTCCTCTCCATTCGAATCTACATTTTGGAATGTGCACCTAGCTTCACCTAGCTTCACTGACGGGCTGACTGACAGACTATTATTTATTTTGTATTTGTTGACGTTTCAAAAGTACCAAATTATGGTTTAATTGATACAAATGACTTTCGTTTAAGTTTTACTTTCTTGCCGTAATTTGCACCTCTGCCTACCCGTTCGAGTTTAAAAAGGCGTGATGCTATATATATTCAAACGTAGAATAAAATTGACATTTGACAGTAATTGTTGAAACTGCGTGCTAAGTGGTATTGAAAAATACGAAATGTTGAATAGGTAAGGACATTGCTCGACTCGAGGGTCGAATAAAGAACCTTGTCCTTGACTTATGCACTGTAATAAAAACGACTTGGGTATCGTGCAATCGAAAATAAGCAATCCATACAGATAAATAAAATTGGAGTGTCTGGTTGTAATATTAAAATAACCGCTTTGTACTACATGCATATGAATATACACACGGTACACATACCAAAATAACGAAATTTACAATGATTTTTTTTAGGGCGGACAAAATCATCGAATGGCTTCTCCCGCCTAGTTGAGGAGGGAGTGCCAGACTCTTACTGACTAAAAAGTAAAAACCACCCCTTCCTACTCCTACACTTCGAGCCGGAGCCCCGGTAACCCGTTAAGTTCTTCGCGGCTCCGTATGGGCATCAGCCCTATTGGGCCCCATCTGTGGTGGTCTGATGGCTCTTTGAGGAGTTTTTTCATTTTTTATGGCATAAGCCGGTAAACGAGCAGACGGATCACCTGATGGTAAGCAATCGGCGTCGCCCATGGACACCTGGAATACCAGAGGCGTTACAAGTGCGTTATCGGCCTTTTGGGATTAGGAATGCGGATTGTTGGGGATTCAGGGATTGCGGAGAGTAACGAATGGAGTTTCTTGCTCGTTCTTCTCCATTCGAATCTACGTTTTGGAATGAGCACCTAGCTACACTGACGGACACACTATAACTATTATATATTTTGTATTTGTTACCGTATCGGGGGGAAGGGGGATAATTGGCCTCCTCGTAACACACGGAAAATAGCACCCGAGTGTAAATAGGTCACAATACGGTAGTCGACAGGTAGTCAAATGCAATGCTTTTATTGAAATGTCAAAAACTATACTTTCCTATGAATTTTGTATTGGATCGCAACTTATGTCGTCATCATATTTCTGCGTCAAACAGCATACTTATTTCCTAAAAATTAGCGAGAAAAAATCCAAAAGTAGGTAAATTGTCAAATCAATGGATGAGAGTATGATTATTTTTTAATTATTTATTGCATTGAAAAGTTGAAACAATTTATTTGAAACCTAGGAAACTAGCCAATTAAAAACAAAACCACTCACCATGAATATAGAGTTGATAGTCATCAATACCCACGCTGCTATCTTAGATGTTTTTGATGTTGATTTGTCCATTGTTTATCTGTCAAATATAAAATGTTATTAGTTAATTATTATGCTCGGCAGTCAAACCGAGCAAGGGCTCTCGGGTTCGATTCCCGGGTCGGGCAAAGTATTTAAAAAAATCTCCGTAGTAGCATGGAATCTGGAATTGTGCCCAGTATATGGCAATTGACTCACCCCCTATTACACGGGACTCATAATATAAATAGTGAAAAGTGGGTGTTACATTGTGCAGTGGCATTAAGTGCTGTAACGTGCACCTCTGCCTACCCCTTCACGGATCAAACGCGTGATGTTATGTCATGTTGTATTGTTCCGATGACCTCACTCACACGACAAAACACAGCAAGCGTTGTTTCACGTCGGTTTTCTGCTCGGCCGTGGTATCACTCCGGGCGAGACAGCTAATTCGTGCCGAAGCATCGTTCTTCCACACTTGGAATGTAAAATTAAACGACATTAAGTACTTTATTTGTTAGTATAACCTATTAGAAATTGCCTATAGAAATAAGAATAAGAATAATTTATTTGTATATACTCCACTTACAATGTTTTTTTTTTTTTTTTTTTTTTTTTTTTTTTTTTTTTTTTTTTTTTTAAATTGCTATATTAAAGTAAAATTATGCTAGAGTATTTACTAGATAATAATAATACATTAAAGACTGAAACCAATAAATCCGTTATTCATAAAAGCCTTACATATAAAATGGTGTTCAATTGAACACGTGTCCTCATTGATAAATCATGAAGGCATCAACTCGCGTGTTTCAGACATTAATTAATTCTGTATTTATTTTTACATAGAATAAAGCTAATATGTCGTGGTAGTCCGGAGATTAAGACTGCTTCTCATGCATGAGAGTGCAGGCTCAAAACCTACCAACGGCAAGTACCAATTTGACTTTTTCCGAGTTATACTTTCTAATATTATTTAGACACCACTGACAAACGATGAAGGCAAACATCGTGAGGAAACCTGGACTTATAATTTCTAATTATAAGTTTGTAATCGCTAACCAGCAATGAGCAAGCCTAGTAATTAATGCTCAAACCTTCTCCGTGTGAGAAGAGGCTTTGCTCAGCAGTGGACACTTATAGGCTGTTGATGATGCTGAAAGCTAAAAATCCACGAAGAAGTAGTCAGAACACATTTACAATATAACACCCACTTATCACTATTTATGTTATGAGTCCCATGTAATAGGGGGTGAGCCTATTGCCATATAACTATATAATATACCAACAACCCGCCCCGGCTTCGCACGGGTGCAATATGCATGTATAATACATACATAACATCACGACTTTTATCCCCGAAGGGGTAGGCAAAGGTGCACATTACGGCACTTAATGCCACTGTACAAT